AGAAAGTGGGTGCCTTAAAATCAGAAACCATGGCAGAAAGTTCACACTGTCTTGCAATTACAAAATTTAACAGCCCGTAACTATTACAATATAGTAAAAGGAGTACAGTGAGAATACATTAGGGGCGCCTGGTGGCTCAGTCAGTTATGCATACAACTCTTGATTTTGGCTCAGTTCATGATCTCCCAGTCTGTGAGATCGAGTCCCATGTCGGGCTCCATGCGGACAGCGCGGAGCCTGCTTGGGATTCTCTTTCTCCCTCTCTGCCTGCTAGCACTCTCTCTCTCTCCCCTTCAAAATAAATAAATAAGCTTTAAAAAAAGGGGGGGGCACCTTGTTGCCTCAGTTGGTTAAGCGTCCAGCTCCAGCTCAGGTCATGATCTCACAGCTCGTGAGTTTCAAGCTCCACGTCAGGCTCTGGGCTCACAGCTCAGAGCCTGGAGCTTGCTTCAGATTCTGTGTCTCCCTCCCTCTGTCCCTTCCCTGCTTCCACTGTGTGTGTGGGGGGGGGGGGTCTCAAAAATAAACAAACATTAAAAAAAGAGAAAACACTTTATATCGGGGCACCTGGGTGGCTCAGTCAGTTAAGCGTCCAGCTTCGGCTCAAGTCATGATCTCGTGTTTCCTGGGTTCGAGCCCCACGTCGGGCTCTGTGCTGACAGCTAGCTCAGAGCCTGGAGCCTGTTTCAGATTCTTTGTCTCCCTCTCTCTCTGACCCTCCCCTGTTCATCCTGTCTCTCTCTCCCCTCTCTCAGAAATAAATAAAACAAAAAAAAATTTTTTTAAACCCCACTTTAAATCTTAATTGACATAAACAGCTACTTGCCCTGGGTAAGTGGCTATTTTATGGCATAACTTTTTGATCATGACTCTCATTGAAAAATCATTGCTAAAACACGGTAATTCACTTTTCAGCATTGCTTTTGCAGTCCTACAAAAATATTAAGTGTGCTAACGTTTATTACTACATTTTATGCCATGCTTATTTGATATTCCCAGCCTTAATACATACCTGGCACATAGTAAGTGCTTAATGTTTACTAAATGAATAATGAATAGTGTTTTCACTCACTGACCAACTTTATTAAAGATAGGGATTAAAGCAGCAGCTTTCCTCCCTCCCTAAGCTATTCTGCAGGGTAGAAAACAACAGGAGGCATGGGATAAAACTGTACGCTTTAGTTTCCTCTTTTCCCCCTTTCAGTATATTCTGACTTACAATTTGTGCTAATGAACTCATATAAACTGTCATTCTCTCCTAAAGTGATTTTTTTCAAAACCTTAAAAATGGCTGTTGTAAGGCTGAGATGGAGAAACAGAGACTGTGCTTACTTTCCTGCATAAAAAAAAAAGTTAAAAATAGGATATAATATATTAAACAGTGGTTTCGAGACACGGGAAATCAGGCAGCATGGAGGGCAGCTCCTGAGAAATGGAAAACATATGAGGTGAGCCCTATTTATAATTACTCCAGCCTGCTGTCTGGAGAGTTGCCAGGCCACAGCATAGGGAAGGGGACCCCAGATGGAGTCTCATCATCTCCCAGGGTTGAGCTGATGTGGTTGGGAGGTGAAAGTGGCTAAAACACAGGGCACAGTACCAGAGAGGAGAACGCTACCCAGGGAGAAAACCCCAGAGTCCTCAGCTGATGACTGGTTGGTCCATGGGGAGTGGGGGACAAGTACCCAAGTCCTGGGAGCGAACCACCCAGAAGGATTAGAGGAAACGCTTAGAGCTCACACAGGGCAGAAAACGGTTTGTGTTCCCACCTGTGAGAGCACGAAAATCCTTGTAATCCATGAGACATCAATGAGGCACCTCATAAAATGAGGAATACTGCCTCAGGATAGAGCAAAATTAGCCCTAAGGATTGACAGAGCTTAAAAGCAAACCTCAAGAGGATCAAATGACTTAATAAGAACTTAGTTGTGTCCTAGACAAAGTTCAAAAATATCTACAGGGATACAAAAATATCCAGCACTCAATAACATAAAATTAACAATATCTGGCATCCAATAAAAATGTATCAGGCAGGCACCCTGTGGGGGCTCATTTGGTTAAGCATCTGACTTTAGCTCAGGTCATGATCTCATGGTTCGTGAGTTCGAGCCCTGCATCGGGCTCTCTGCTGTCAGTGCAGAGTCCACTTCAGATCCTCTGCCTCCCTTTCTCTCTGCCCCTCCCCTGCTCACATGTGCACACTTTCTCTCTCTCAAAAATAAACAGTTAAAAAATGTATCAGACATGCAAAGAAGCAGAATACCACTCGTAATGAGGGGGGGAAATCAATCAGTAGAAACAGACCCAGAAATGATACAAATGATAGAATTGGTAGAGAAGGACATTAAAAATCTATCGTTATTTTGCATAAGTTTAGAAGGTAGAAGAAAGATTGAACATACTGCAATGTACACACCGTTCTGTACCTTTTTCATTTGTTCATTTATCTTTCCAAGTCTGCATAAAGCTGCCTTGTTGTTTTTCTTAATTTTTTAAGTTTATTTATTTATTGGGATGGGTGTGGAGGAGGGGCAGAGAGAGAGGGACAGAGAGAATCCTAAGCACGCTCCACACTGACACAGTGCAGAGCCTGATGTGGCGCTCAAATCCACAAACCGTGAGATCATAACCTGAGCCAGAATCAAGAGTCGGATGCTTAACTGACTGAGCCACACAGGCGCCCCCACCTTGTTATTTTTAATGGCTGTATAGTATTCCACTGTGAGGATAAACCATAATTGCTTTAATGTGTCTCTCATTAAGGACATCTAGGGTTTTTTTAAATACATTTTAAATAGGGGCGCCTGAGTGGCTTAGTCGGTTAAGCGTCCGACTTTCGCTTAGGTCATGATCTCGCGGTTCGTGGGTTCGTGCCCCGCGTCGGGCTCTGTGCTGACTGCCAGCTCAGAGCCTGGAGCCTGTTTCAGTCTGTGACTCCCTCTCTCTCTGACCCTCCCCTGCTCTCGCTGTCTCTCTCTCTCTCTCCTAGAAATAAATAAAACATAAAAAAAAAAAAAAATTTTAAATACATTTTAAATAAAGATATAGTTTATATACCATAAAATCCACCTTTTAAGGTGTACACTTCAGTGATTTAATTCCAGAACACTTCCGTCATCCCAAAAAGACACCCAATAGCTGTGACATCTAGATTTTTACAGTCTTTTGCTGAATCCAGTAATGCTACACTGGATATTCTTATGCACATGTGCAAGAATACCTATAGGACAAATACCTGAAAATATTTGCTAAGTAGAATAATTTGTGCACCTAAAATTTTTAAAGATCTTGCTAAATTATTCTCCCTAGAGATTATGGAGTTTATTTTACTCTCACCAGCAAAGTATAAAAGTTCCTGTTTCCCCACTTCCTCATCCACACAGTCTTTTACCAAACTTTTCTCTTTATTTTATGATAATAGTATCTCATTGAAATTTTAATTTATATTTCTCTTGTTCAAAATGAGGTTGATTGTTTTTATATGTTTAGGGGCTACTTTCCTTTTTTAATGAACTGATTGTTCATAGGTTTGATTTTCTGCAGGGTAGCTGTTTCTCTTTTTTTTTTTTTTAAATTTTGTTTTGTAGGGGGAGACAGCAAGTATGTGTGAGTGGGAAAGGGGCAGAGGGAGAGGGGGAGAGAGAATCTTAAGCAGGCTCCATGCTCAGTGCGGAGCCAGACATGGGCTCAATCTCACAACCGTGAGATCATGACCTGAGCCAAAATCAAGAGTTGGATGCTCAACTGACTGAGCCACCCAAGTGTCCCTGTTTTTCTTGTTTATAGGCGCTCTTTGTGTATTAGGGAGAAAAGCCCTTTGTGATATGAACTGGAAGTATTTTTTCCACTTAATGTTTTTTGGATTATTTTAGTCTTTGACTTTATTACCTTTTTACTTTTATCGTGCAGAATTTTAAAATTTTAGGACATCAGATTTGTCAATCTTTTCTTTTATACTTCTGTATCTTGCAACAGACTTTCCCTACTCTAAGATTATTTTAAAAAAAAACTATTTCTTCCATGTATTACCCTAGTACCTTAAGGTTCACCTCTGTTCCCTGCCTCCATTTAACTGTTTGATCCATCTAGAATTTATTTTTGTATAAATGTAAGATATAGATCCACCATCTTTTCTCCATACAGCTAACATCTTTCCCCCATTGATTTAAAATGTCACTTTTATACTGTGTCCTCTTGATTAAAAGCCATTATTCAAAGTATTGACTCAGATAAGGACAATTTTAATACTAGCTTTAATTTTTTAAGAGTGGCAATCGGTGGCACCTGGGTGGCTCGGTCAGTTAAGTGTCTGACTCTTGATTTCGGCTCAGGTGATGATCTCATGGTTTGTGAGTTCAAGTCCCACGTTGGGTTCTGTCCTGAAAGTGCAGAGCCTGCTTGGACTTCTCTCTCCCCTCTCTCTGCCCCTCCTCCATTTGCACACATTCTCTGTCTCTCCCTCTCTCTCAAAATGAATAAATAAGAAAATTGAAAGAGTGGTAATCTAGTGTCTGGGGCAGTGATTTCTGACCTGTTGGGATGCCTATCAGGATCCTGTAAGAAGCACAGTCCCCTTCCCTCTGTGACAAATCCTACTGTCATAAGCTGCTGCTACTGAGAGGAACGTGTCTCCCTCAAGTGTGTTGAGCCAAGAAGTAGTTTTTAAACCATTGATCTAGGGGGACTCCTCTTTCACAGAATGTTCTAAATATCACCTGTGGCCAGAGGCCCATCTAGTGATTCCAGGAGAAAAGAGCCTCAGCAAAAGTCCAGAAGGAAAGGGAGAGCCTACCTTTCCAAAGAAAACTAAACTCTTCACTTTTGAGACACTAGTTTTTGATCCTCAGGTTTTCTTCCCACCTTAGAATTGTCCATTTCTACACCTCTCCTTTGGTAAATTGCCTTTGGGGGACCATGTGTCCTCCTGGGGAAAGGAACCCCCCTGGGCTAGACAGGGGATGACTGTGCTTTGGCAATATGCAGAGCTGGGGACATAGGGATCAGAGTCATCGCTTTTAATTTGAAACTCTTTAAAGTCAGAAAAGAGGATGGCCCTTTAAAAAGCCGAATTCTCAGGGCACCCCTAACTATAGAGGCTCGTGGAGTTCTACCCACTGGGGGCTAGTGGCAGAGGCCTGTGTGGTTGGACAGATGCCTCCAGGGAGCATTCTGTCAAGTATTTGAGCAGCCCATTCGGTTTGATGGGGGAGGATGCACAATGGCTTTTAATTTCATCCGATGTTGTGTAAGTGTTCTCTTCTTTACGCCACTCAAGGAGTAGCTTGTCACTTTGAATTCAGGGGTAGCAGATGTTCGCGGTGCTTGAAAGTCCCGGCGGCGGTGACACCTCGGTAGAGTGACTGGCGCGGACTTCCTTTCTCAGTTTGTTAACCGCCGGGTGTCTCCTCCACCAGGGGAGCCTGTTCAGGTGTGAAGTCGTGAGGGAAGCAGGGGTACTTGGGACGGGTTGTTGCAGTACGGGCTATTTTTCCCTTACATTTTCACGAGTTTGTTCCAGAAACTGCGGACACTGTAAATAGTAATAAATCATATCCACTTTATGGGCTTAAGGATATGTCGTAATTGCCTAATTTATTTCATGTGATTGTTATGTCTGGGAGACGCGCTCATGGCCCAGTAACGAGCTATGGCTGATGCAATTCTACCACATAAAGTATCGGGATTTGAGGGCGGCCCCTTCCACAGATTTCTCGGGGTCTATTTAACGAGAGTTTTCCTGCTTTTCCTGGCTGTGACATTTTCACTCCTCAGAAGTCTGGTCTTGCTAGCATGTTCCACATCTAGCACTCCACATCTGAGGCCTCAAAGTAGATCTCACCTCGCCTGCCGCCCTCTGCACACCTCAGCCTGGCGGTTACCCTTGGATCAGCCTTGCCCCTCTTCTTCCCCCCGTGTCACCCACCATCTCGCCTCTCCACCAGAGTTCCACTCAGAAGGCTCCTCCTCGCCCCCCAGGCCGTTCAGCACCTGAACAAATCCCCCCAATGGGAAGGTCTCCCATCGGGGGATACTTACCCCTTCCAGACCCTTCCTGGGGAGAGCAAGTTTCCTTCCGTGTGGCAGGAGCCAGTTTTATACTTGTCTGGCCTTGGGACTGATTGGGTGGGAGGCCTGGGGGAGCTGGAGAGGAGATGGCAGTTTTAACCAAGAAAAAAACATTCAAGCAGAAATGATCCCTTCTGCCTTCTTCGGGCGTGTCCCTCTTCTGGGCATCTCTTCAGGATTTCATTCCTCCGTCCAACTGCCGTTCACAACTGCCCTTTCCAACCGCTCCAGAACTCTTGGCCCCGGCATTCCGTGATGTAAATTATTCCACGCATGGCTCGAAATGGGTGCGAAGCAGTGTTGCCAGGTGTCGGATCACTAGTGTAAGTTTACCGGATCTCGGGGGAGGGACGAGAAAGGGGGAGCACTGCTCTTGGAATTTGTCCAGTTGTTACCATTTCAGTCTGAACACAGTCCGCGCACTGGCTGAGCCTGATGGGGGGGTGGCTGGGGAGTCAGGGAGCTTGCCTGGGGCTCGGAGCCGGGGCGAACTGAGAGTTGAGATTTCCTACTTTAAAGATTCTAGGGATGGGATGTAGACTGTTTGGAACCGAAGCCTTGGCGGTGCTGCTGCCGCCAGGGAGGAAGGAAGCCCGGACCTGCCGGGCAAAGCCTGTAGCCGTCCGGCCTGGGGCTCCCGTGTCTCCTCTGTCTCAAAAAGTGGGGAGAACCGCCTTTTCTGTGTCTGTAAAGCCATGGCAAGAAATCCAGATTGCTCACCATGTTTGGAAATACTCAAGTCCTAAAACTTGAACACCTCTGGATGCATGAGATTCTCTTCTAAAACAAATACTATGCCGCCCCGTTTGCGCGATCCATTCTGGGGAAGTTCCTGTTCTGGCCTACGGTCCCTTTGGGGAATCTGTGTGGGAAGGGTTGCTGCTAACTCCCTTTGATTTATCTAGATTCCTTTTGCACTTGTAAGTGAAGGATTTGCGTTCAATAGAAACAACTTAAAATGAATATTTAGTCTCGTGAACAACCACAAAAATTTTGAAATCCCATTAAAAGCACACAGTTAAAGAAAAAGTTTCCATGAATTACACCGTTATTTATCTAGGGAAGTATAGAGTGTATCTTTGTCACATCGATGCTACTGGCTTTACTCTGCTAACCGGCGTTCTCTTACTCTTTTTTTTATAGTTGTCATGGATGATGATGATGACTCGTGTCTCCTTGATCTTATTGGGTAAGATTCCCATTCCACAACCAGGGTAAATCACATGTGTGAGGTTTGCCGTACTAAAACAACCTGATAAGTGAGCATATTACAACTGGGTGGGAAGGGCGCTTGGGGATGAACACTGGGTGTTAATATGGAAACCAACTTGATAATAAACCATATTTAAAAAAAAAAAAAACTGAGTGGGATTTGGGGGCACGTGCCTGGCTCAGTGAGTGGAGCATGTGACTCTTAATCTCAGGGTTGTGAGTTCAAGCCCCACGTTGGGAGTAGAGACTACCTAAAATTAAAAAAAAAAAAGGGTAGGTTTTTTAAATAAAAATCAAGGGGCGCCTTAGTGGCTCAGTTGGTTAAGCATCTGACTTTCGCTCAGGTTATGATCTCACAGTTTGTGAGTTCGAGCCCTGCATTGGGCTCACTCCTGTCTGCTCAGATCCCACTTCAGATCTCTGTCTCCCTCCGCCCCTCCCTGGCTCTCATGTGCATGCTCCCTCTATCTCTCTCTCTCTCTCTCAAAAATAAACCTCTTAGGGGCACCTGGGTGGCTCAGTCAGTTAAGCGTCTGACTTCAGCTTAGGTCATGATCTCATGGTTCATGGGTTCAAGCCCCGTGTCGGGCTCTGTGCTGACAGCTAGCTCAGAGCCTGGAGCCTGCTTCTGATTCTTTGTCCCCCTCTCTCTCTGACCCTCCCCTGCTCATGCTGTCTGTCTCTCTCTCAAAAAAATAATAAAACATTAAAAATTTTTTTAAAAAACAAACATCTTTAAAAAAATAAATAAATAGAAATCAACGTAGTTAGATTAACAAATAAAGGGACAAATATATTTGGATCTGATAGAGTTCATAATTAGGTCATCCTTTATTAAATTTAGTTTTTAACAAATACCAGGAGGCAGAAATAAGTGATAATAGAAAAAAAAGAAAAGAAAAGAAATAAGTGATAATAGGAAACAGAACAACATCAGGAAATCAATAATAAAGCAAAAAACCCAGTAGGGGTGCCTGGGTGGTTCAGTCAGTTAAGTATCCAACTCTTTGATTTCGGCTCAGGCTGTGATCTCATGGTTCATGAGACTGAGCCCCACATCAGGCTCTGTGCTGAGAGCATGGAGCCTGCTTGGGATTCTCTCTCTCTCTCTACCTCTCTCTCTCTCTCTCTCTCTGTCTCTCTCTCTCTCTCTCCAAATAAATAAGTAAACTAAAAACAAAAACAGAAAAACACACAAACACACACACACACACACACACACACACAAAACCCAACCTAATAAAATTGTTTAAAAATTTACTCAGGCTAATATCCCTAGTCATTTTCTTTTTACCCTAGTAAAAATGAATCCTAAATATAAGTCATGTATTTATTTGCTGTTTTCCTTTCTTTGCTGTTGTTTTCCAGAGACCCACAAGCATTGAACTATTTTCTACATGGACCTAGTAACAAATCTGTAAGTAATACTTAGAACATCACAGATCTAAATTTTGTTCCTTCTTTACAGTTGAAGTAATCGCTTTATTGAATTTGTACCTTTGCAGAGCAATGATGACTTGACTAACGCAGGATATTCTGCAGCCAATTCAAATTCAATTTTCGCCAACTCCAGTGTGAGTATTGGAAACTGCATTCAGTGATCAAGTGTTTATCTCTCATGGATGCCTTGTAAGCAGAGGCTTTCATTGCCTTTGGATCCTGATGGGTGTTATTACCTTGTCTCTTATAATTGACATGGAAGGAAATCTACCAAACAGTGTTGACATTGTCTCCTTTTAACGTAGTCAATTAAGATAAACTATACAAGATTTACTTTGCCATGTTCCTAAGTTATAACCTAAGAAAGTCATACTAGAATATTTTAGACCTTGTTACATAGCTTTAAATAAATTATTCTTCCTTGCCATTACTTACTCAGTCTTTTCATCTTAAAACAAGAAAAAAATTACTGAGTGAGGGGCGCCTGGGTGGCTTAGTCAGTTAAGCGTCTGACTTTCGCTTAGGTCATGATCTCGCGGTTCATGGGTTGGAGCTCCGCGTCGGGCTCTGTGCTGACTGCCAGCTCAGAGCCTGAAGCCTGTTTCAGTCTGTGACTCCCTCTCTCTCTGACCCTCCCCTGCTCACGCTCTCTCTCTCTCCCCTAGAAATTAAAAAAAAAAAAAAAAATTAAAAAAAATTACTGAGTGAAACTTCCTGAGCATTTAGTATGTCCTTGGCACCAAGGGTTTGCATGATTAACCTCATTAATCCACACAATAACTCCATGAAGTAGGCTCTGTTATGATCTGTATTTTATGGGATGAGGAAACTAAAGCATAGAGAGGTTAGTACTTGCTCAAAATTATACAGCGAGGAGTTGGAGAGCTAGGATTCTCCAGCAGGCCACCCATTCTGGATTCCATATTCTCAAGCCCTAGGAGCATCCAGACAAGAAATCTGGCCTGGGGAATAGGGAAGTCCTGCCTGCAGACTATGTCCAGATGACTACATTCAGGCCTCTCTTACTTTAATCAGGTGCCTTCTTCCATCATGGATGGTAGCCCAGAGTCAGACTGCCCCAGTGTGAATCCTCACTCTACCACTTACTAGCCCTGTAACCTTGGATATATCACTAAATCTCTGTAGTGTTCAGTATCCTATTTATGAAACCAGGAGAATAATAGAACTACTTCCTAGGTTGGTTAACATTAATTGACTAGTCCCGGGAAATGACTTGGTGCAGTGCTCAGTAAAGTTTAACTTATCATAAGGCCGTCATATCCTTCATCTATAACATGGAATAGTATCCAGAGAGCCCTTGGGAGTGCACAGTTTTTTTTAAGTATTTGAGTGTGTGTAAATTATATCAGATCCTAGGGTGCAAGACACCTCTGCGTGCTACGGGTGGCTTTGAAGTCACAACACTGATCTGGAAGGCTTGTAAATCAGTAGCATTTTTGAAATTCATGCGGAATGAGTAATAATTTCATGTGGTCCCATTAAGCGCATAAGGTAGATAGTTAGCCTGTCCCTCGACATGGATGATTTTTATTTACCAACTCTCCCCCTTCCATGTGAGTATTACTTCTGACTTTCCAGACTGCCTCATTCAGTATGCATTTATTGGGAATTTCTATTACATCATGTCAGGTAGAGTAGAAATTTTTTTTTCAGTAGAAATATTTTCCAAGGCCTGAAAAATATGGCTGTTTAAATCTATGGTCTGTTAACTTGTACATTGTAAAAATATTAAACTGTGTCTGACCATTCAGGAGATAGGCATTGTTGTCTAGATATTGTTACGCAAAAAACAAAAAACAAAAACCAAAACCTCTCCTTGCTTTCATTTGCTTTCCCCATTTCCTTTCGGATGACTCCTCAAGTCCCACGATGCTGGTTCCACTTCAACTGTTGACTGAATGAGGGTCAAGTGAACTAGTCTTTGCTTTTCTGCCTGGTTCTTCGCATCATATAGCCCCCAACACCTTACAAGGCTCGGGCTGAGAACCTCATGCTTTTGCAAGCTGGAACTCTTATTCTTCATTGACCCATTTTTCATTTTTTTCTTCACCTTTTTTTAAATGTTCAGTGACCTTACAATACTTAATGAAATTTACTATTGTAACTACTTTTAAGTTATAGTTCCATAGCGTGAAGGACATTTGTGTTTTCCCCAGCTGTTGATTCCGTATCTTTTCTTTTATAATTTCAACACGTCCCCAGAAAAACTGCTAGGCAGTGGAGTGTATCTCTTTTATCATGTTCAGTTCTCTTCCTATGCCTGTGTGGTCTCTGGCTGGAAAGCCCATTCCTAAGGATTCCTTGAGGACAGAAACTAACACACAAGTGGGTGCTTGATGACTAAAATGTTGACGGACTTTTACTGTGGAACAGAACACTGAAATCGTTTTGAAAACGGCATAATAATGCTGATTCCTTCTAAGAAATCAAATGACCCCTCACTTGTGGGGGAAGCTTGTTTTTGTCTGGACTAGTCTCGCCTGGGATGGTAGGGATTAAACCTAGACACGTTCTGAGAAGCCCTGAAAAACAGGGCTGGATCTGGGATGCCTTCTGGACCCCTAACAGAACAACACCCAGAACTCCCAACACTTGCTTAGATTCCTGTCGTGCGAAGGACTAGACACGGCTATTTCCTGGACACTTACACACTCTGGGCCGAGTCTCACGCAAGCCCTGGACCGGGAGCAGTCCTGAAAAATAAAGTCTGTGTCAGTATCTGAAAAAATGGAGCTAAACTCCAGGCAGTCATCAGTATGGTCCTGTTACGTTATCTATTTTCTATGAACTAATTTACCAGAGCACTGAATGGGTCACAGAAATAATGTTAAACATCATCCCTGAAGAAATACAGTATCAGAATAAGCTGAGCACTTAGAAGAGCTGTCCTGTTAGGCTTTATTCTATCCAAAAGCGAGGCTGGTATCATGTTGTTTTAACAACTTCTTTCAAAGGTTAGACATGCCAGGTAACACACTGCTTATATATTTTTTTTTTTAGAATGCTGATCCTAAGTCATCCCTCAAAGCTGTAAGCAACCAGCTTGGAGAAGGGCCCAGTGATGGACTGCCACTTTCAAGTAGCCTTCAGTTTCTTGAAGATGAACTTGAGTCTTCTCCTCTTCCCGATCTCAGTGAGGACCAACCTTTCGACATTCTTCAGAAATCCCTGCAGGAGGCCAACATCACCGAGCAGACCTTGGCAGAAGAGGCATACTTGGACGCCAGTATAGGTTCAAGCCAACAGTTTGCACAAGCCCAGCTTCATCCTTCCTCATCAGCATCCTTTACTCAGGCTTCTAACGTTTCGAATTACTCAGGTCAGACGCTGCAGCCTATAGGGGTGACTCACGTGCCTGTTGGAGCCTCATTTGCAAGCAATACAGTGGGTGTGCAGCATGGCTTTATGCAGCACGTGGGGATCACCGTGCCCAGCCAGCATCTGTCGAATAGCAGTCAGATCAGTGGTTCTGGTCAGATACAGCTGATCGGGTCATTTGGTAATCAGCCCTCCATGATGACTATTAATAACCTAGACGGATCTCAGATCATATTGAAGGGCAGCGGGCAGCAAGCCCCGTCAAACGTGAGCGGCGGGCTCCTGGTTCACAGACAGACCCCCAACGGCAACTCCCTGTTTGGGAACTCCAGTTCCAGTCCCGTAGCACAGCCTGTCACCGTTCCATTCAACAGCACAAACTTCCAGACGTCCCTGCCCGTGCATAACATCATCATACAGAGGGGTCTCGCACCCAATGCAAATAAAGTCCCGATTAATATCCAGCCAAAGCCCATCCAGATGGGTCAGCAGCACACATACAACGTGAACAATCTGGGGGTGCAACAGCACCACGTGCAACAAGGGGTCTCCTTTGCGTCTGCCAGCTCCCCCCAGGGCTCCGTCGTCGGTCCGCACATGTCTGTGAACATTGTAAACCAACAGAACACAAGGAAACCGGCCACCTCGCAGGCCGTGAGCAGCGCCGGGGGCAGTATCGTCATTCACTCTCCCCTGGGCCAGCCTCACACACCCCAAAGTCAGTTCCTCATACCCACAAGCCTTTCTGCCAGTTCCAACTCGGTTCACCACGTCCAGACCATAAATGGGCAACTGCTTCAGACTCAGCCTCCTCAGCTCATCCCTGGCCAGGTGGCCTCAGAGCACGTCATGTTGAACAGAAACTCTTCCAACATGCTCAGGACCAACCAGCCCTATTCTGGACAGATGCTGAGCAACCAGAATGCTGCCGTCCAGCTAGTGTCTGGGCAGACGTTTGCCGCCTCGGGAAGCCCGGTGATTGTCAATCATGCCTCTCCTCAGATAGTTGGTGGCCAGATGCCCTTGCAGCAGGCGTCACCGACTGTACTACACCTGTCACCTGGGCAGAGCAGCGTGTCCCAAGGGAGACCTGGCTTCACCACCATGCCCTCGGTGACCAGCATGTCAGGACCTAGCCGGTTCCCTGTCGTCAGCTCCTCCAGCACAGCCCATCCAAGTCTCGGGTCTGCGGTTCAGTCAGGTGCATCAGGATCAAACTTTACGGGGGAGCAGCTGGCCCAGCCAAACAGGACTCCAGTACCAGTCAGTGCGCCTCATCGTCTTCCAGTCTCTTCTTCCAAATCGACCAGCACCTTCAGTAACACCCCTGGAGCAGGAACCCCGCAGCAGTTCTTCTGTCAGGTACGTCTGCTCTATCGCACGAATGTCGGGACGGTAACGGAACGGGAAAATGGACTGTGTATTTCACGGCACAATTTCTGTCCTAAACTCCCAATGTATTCATTGACAATTTTCTTTTTTTTTGTAAGTTTATTTATGTATTTTGAGAGAGAGAGCAGGAGAGATACAGTGAGAAGGAGAGACAGAATCCCAGGCAGGCTTCACGCCATCAGCAAGGAGCCCAATGTGGGTCTTGAACTCACAAACTGTGTGTGAGCTTATGACTTGAGTCAAGCTTCACTGACTGAGCCACCCAGGCGCCCCTCATTAACAATTTTCAATTTGTGATTGATTGCCTTTTCTCTTCCTAACTAAAAACATTTTTTTTTTTTTTAATTTGAGAGAGAGAGAGTGTGTGTACAAACGGGGAGGGGAGGCACAGAGGGAGGGAGAGAATCCTAAGCAGCCTCCGTACTCAACAAGGCTGATACTCAACAAGCCCTGATACAGGGCTCGATCCCACAACCCTGGGATCATGACTTGAGCCAAAATCAAGAATCAGACACTCAACTGACTGAGCCACCCAGACGCCCCCTTAATTAAAAAATTTTCATCCATCATAGCATTGTGGTTCGGAGTAGGGCTCTAGAGTCAGACTTACGGATTTGACTCTAAGCTTTGAGTTTTAAAACTGGATACCTTTGACTTAGTCATTCCACTAAGAATCCTAAGGAAACAAAGATTATTTATTATCAAGGATATTCAGTGTATTACTTTCGGTATCAGAGTGTGTGTGTGTGTGTGTGTGTGTGTGTGTGTGTTGAAATAATGTCAGTGAAAGTGGCAAGAATAGTACAAATAATTGTCATATACCTTTCACCAAGATTCTCCAAATGTTAACTTTTTACTACCTTTGTTTTATCCTTCTCTTTGTCTCCCAATGCCCCCCCCCATACACACACACACACACACACACACACAATTTTGAGAGTAAGTTATAGGCATGGTGTCTCCTTACCCCTAAATACTTTGGGCTTCAGTGTGTATTTTCTAAAATCAAACATTTTCCTACATAACCGTAGGTAGTACAGTTATCAAAACCAAGAAATTAGCTTTAGTACAATGTTTTCACCTGATCTATAGACCTTATCCAGATTTAGTTGATCTTCCCAAGAATGCCCATTACAGCAAAAGGGGGAAAATTATATTGTTTTGTTTTTATGGTCCAGGATCACAGTCTAATTTTGTCATCATGTCTTTAAATCTGGAACAGTTTCTCCATCTTTCGTTGTCCTTCATGACCCTGATATTTTTGAAGAGTACAAACCAGTTACTTTGTAGAATGTCCCTCAATTCCCGTTTCTCTGCCGTTTCCTCATGATGAGTTTCAGGTCATACATTTTTGGTAGGATTGCCACGGAAGTTATACATTGTCATCATGTGCACTTGTCCCATTCCCGGTGGTGTACACTTTGAACACGTGCTTAAGATGGTGCTAATCCTTCTTAATAAGTTTCTTCTAGGAGATACTTGGACACTCCGTAGGTATCTATTCGCTCATCGAACTTGCACACACGTTAAATTTCCATTGATAATTCCTTACCGAATCCATTATCATGGACTCTGCTATTGCTGTGATGGCCACCAAATAGAGATTTTCTAATTCCATCATTTCTTCTACATTAATTGTTGGCATTCTTCTCTAAGAAAGCATTTCCTTTTCCTCCTTTATATATAGGTTTGTTTCTATCAGTATGGACTCAGAGGTTCTTATTTTATTCAGTGGGTTATAAATTGTTGTAGTCACTTATCTTGATGCTCAAGTTACTTTGATGGCTATTGGGCCCTCCTCCAAATCGGCTGCTGGTCCCTCTGACACATTTTCATTGTGCCTTGAGCACTTTCTTCCATTTCTGGCAAAACAAGATGTTCCGTGTTGATCTTTTTGTGACTCGGCCCTGGAACCAACCATTTATTTAAGGAGCCTCATTCCTTCTAGTAGAGAACAGTAGTTAGAAACCACGGCCTGAGCACTGCGTGTTCAATGCTACTGACCTGGGACTTACATATACAATATATATATAATATATAATATAATATATATTATATATTTACACAGATCCAACGTCTGTAGCTATTTATGTATCAGTCCTTATTAAAAGCAATGGGTTCCTGGGGCGCCTGGGTGGCTTAGTCGGTTGAGCGTCCGACTTTCGCTTAGGTCATGATCTCACGGTTCGTGGGTTCGAGCCCCGCATCGGGCTCTGTGCTGACTGCCAGCTCAGAGCCTGGAGCCTGTTTCAGTCTGTGACTCCCTCTCTCTCTGGCCCTCCCCTACTCACGCTGTCTCTCTCTCTCCTAGAAATAAATAAAAAACAAAAAACAAAACAAAACAAAACAAAAAAAACAATGGGTTCCTATTGATACTTCCTATTCTAGTCCAGGACCACTGGGTTCATTACTCAGTTCTCTTTCTTTTCCATTTCCAAACATCTTCCATGTTTCCTCTTTTCTAGCAGTGAGAAAGGCCACTCCACAGTGTATTTACTTATTTGCTCAATCCTCGAATACACAGAAAATAGTCTCAGAATTCCTATTCCATACCACCATGAAATGCAAACCTACTGATGAGACTTCAGCATCAGTCTACAGTTCTGTCTTTAGCCTAAAGGTATATAGTCAAAATACTGTGTTCTAAAGTTACTTGGGTTAGTACTTTTCCCTCCTCCCTTGGTGTAGTTCATTTGAAATATGAATCTACTTATTCATTGTAGGAGTCTTTCCCCACCACACTTATTGATTATATCTGTTTAATTTCTTTTGAATGTGTAACCCATTAGAATGGTCCCAGAAGTCAGGGCTCTTCAGAAAGTGTACCTGGAGCTCCTCACTCCACCCTTCTCCCACCCCTCCATCCTTTCCTGCCAGTTCTCAGCCACCTCTACATTCACCGATCTCGTTCGTTTCTAGTTATTTATCCTACATTTATTTTCACACAAATGAGCAGATATGTGTGTTTTCTTATTTCCCTTCCTTTCTTTTCTTTTTTTAGTGTTTTAATTTATTTTAGAGAGAGAAAGTGCAAGTAAGGAAGGGACAGAGAGAGGGAAACAAAGGATTCAAAGCAGGCTCTGTACCAACAGCAGCGAGCCCTAAATGGGGGGGCTCAGCAACTGGGAGATCATGACCTCAGCCAAAGTCAAACGCTCAATCAACTGAGCCACCCCGGTGCCCCACCTTCCTTTCTTATTCAAGTATAGCGTGCTGTAGGTACTCTTCTATACTTTGGTTGCTAAAAAGTTTTCTGAAAACCCAAATGTCTAGGGGCACCTGGGTGGCTCAGTCGGTTGGTTGAGTGTCCAACTTTGGCTCAGGTCATGATCTCATGGTTCGTGGGTTTGAGCCCCCTGTCGGGCTCTGTGCTGACAGCTAGCTCAGAGCCTGGAGCCTGTTTCAGATTCTGTGTCTCCCTCTCTCTGACCCTCCTGTGCTGACGCTGTCTCTCTCTCTCTCTCTCTCTCAGAAATAAATAAAACATTAAAAAAATTTTTTTTAATTTGAAATATTTAAAATGTGCATTTAAATGTATAATAAAGAGGGACACCTGGCTAGCTCAGTCAGTAGAGCTTATGACTCTTGATCTCATGTTCATGAGTTCAAGCCCCACATTAGGCAAAAAAAATTTTTTTAGTAAATGTATAAGACTGGATAAACTATTTGTTTTCACTTGTCGAAAAATGATGGGGAGAGATATGTTGAATTAGAAAACAGAAAACCCAGTGTTATAAACACCCAGAAATTTCATCAGAAAGAAATGCAATATGACATTAACAGCAGTTCTCTGGATAGTAGAATTATAGATTATTCTCACTTTACTTCTGGTTTTAAAAACTTGCCCCACACAGGAGACATGATACTCAGACAGCATTTATCAAAGCATATGTATGCATTTTTAAAAATAAGTAAAACATGCAACTGATAAAAACTTAAGACAGTTCCAAGAGAACTGAGAGTGAAAAATAAGTCTTTCTGCCAGTCCCCAAGACTCTCTCTGAAAGCCAGCCACTGTTCCTAGGTTCCCTCTCTCTACTGTCCCAGAGATAGCCTCTACACATACAAGCACAGATACCGCGGACACCTGCTTAACCCTGCAACACGCCATGGGTGTTTTTACCAAATTACATAATTTGAGGATTGTTTTTATATCAGTATGTGTTGATCTGCTTTATATTTGCTGTTATTAATTATATGTAATCAGCTACAACATAATCTCTCTCTTTTTTCACCTGTGTGACAAATAATGCCTTGAAAAGGGGGACGGGGAGAATCTCTCTGACTCCCAAACGTTTCAGTTTCCCAGAGGTAACAAGAAGCCTCCACGGGCGGCTCCAGGGTCACTTTTTGTGACTCTTGCTGCCAAAAAGTATTGGGAACTAGGTCAGTTGCATCAGGCATTTTGGAGTAAGGAGGACACAGCCTCAGAGGACGCACAGTTAGAAAAGTAACGCCGAGGTGTTATATAACATTTAAACCCCCGGAACGGGGCGCCTGGGCGGCTCAGTCGGTTAAGCGTCTGACTTAGGCTCAGGTCATGATGTCACGGTTTGTGGGTTCAAGCCCTGCGTCGGGCTCTGTGCTGACAACCAGCTCAGAGCCTGGAGCCTGTTTCAGATTCTGTGTCTCCCTCTCTCTCTGACCCTCCCCTGCTCACACTGTCTGTCTCTCTCTTTCAGAAATAAAACATTTTAAAAAATTATTTAAAAAATAAATAAACTCCCAGAACATCCAGAAACACTTAGAGTGACTCTTTTTTACTTTATAATTTCTGTGTAAAGTTTCTGTATAAATTATTTTATAGAATGTTGGAATTGGGGTGCCTGGGTGGCTCAGTCGGTTAAGCCTCCGACTTCGGCTCAGGTCATGATCTCACAGCTTGTGGATTCGAGCCCTGCGTCCAGCTCTGCACTGATCCCTAGCTCAGAGCCTGGAGCCTGCTTCGGATTCTGTGTCTCCCTCTCTCT